CTATATATATATATATACCTATATATATATATATACCTATATATATATATATATATACCTATATATATATATATATATACCTATATATATATATATATATATACCTATATATATATATATATATACCTATATATATATATATATACCTATATATATATATATACCTATATATATATATATATATACCTATATATATATATATATATATATATATATATATATATATACCTATATATATATATATATATATATATATATATATATATATATATATATACCTATATTGTATTTCAACGCGTTGGAGTGGGTTACCAGCATCATTCGCTGAACAGATATATTTGGCTTTCAGGCACAGATGAGTAGACCCCAGAGCGCGCTAGAGATCCGAAGCATAAATTAGTTAGTTTTCCTTTTGGCCTGCGTGCCATGGTTATGTATTGCATTGAGGATAGTTAGTTAGTTAGCCTGTGCATCTGGGTTCTCCAGCTCAGATGTGGCATAGCACCCCGCACTCTTATGTTTGATTTTGGGATTCAATGAGAATTCACCTTTATTATATAAGTTTTAAAAGTTTTAAAATTTCGGGGTGTTACAGTTGGTATCAGAGCCTAAGTTGACCCTAGGATAACACTCTTAAGACCAGATTTTAGGACATTAGGCTTATACTCTAGGAGTTCAGGAACATAGGATTTAGGAATGATAGGACGCGCAGTGAGATTGTGAAACCCCCAAACTTTCCCTCACCCTAATTCGCACTTAATTTAAAAAGAACCTCCCCCTACACTCTTAGCATCAAGGTAAGGATGCAAAATAATATCGGCCTATAAACCCTTAGGATGGCACCGACAAGGAAACAGGCAAAAGCACCGGGACTCCCCACACAAGAATCCTTGATTCAGAATCTACAACGTCTGGCCCAAGTTGCCCAGACACTAAGCAACACAGTCCTCCAACCTTCACCACCAAACAGAAACTTGGAAATCCACCACCAAATCTCAGAACACCGACCGCCTACCTTCTCAGTGGATGAGAACTCCACAATTCTCGAAGAATGGATCGGAACCTTTGACAAAATATTCAGAGCAACGGGATGCCCGTAAAACCACCAAGTAGAAATGGCCTCCTTCTACTTACGGCACGAAGCCGACATCTGGTGGGCTCACGAGAAACCCAGTTGCGAACGAAGCACGGGATTCAACTGGAAGTGTTTGGACAAGATTTTGCAGGTAGAAATCCATCTGGTGCACAACACAGTGTGCACCAGACCAGAGTGGCGGCCCTAGCCACGGCCCATCAAAAGGGCCGCCGGCTAGAGCCGTGCCACCACGGGACTAGGGCACGGCCCATGGAGAGGGTCGTTGCCTAGTCCCGGTACTTTAACGGGGATAATGGGGCAGACCATGAGGAGTCCCGCCCCAGGTCCCTGAGTTTGTCCTGATGAGATTTTTGTGCAGTGGTCGGGCCCTTGTGGCTCGGCTCTTCGAGATCGTCTTGACGCACGTTTTGGCTTTGATTTCTTTGAATTTGGATTAAAAACGAGTATGCTATGAATGATTTTGTGAAGAAATGTGACACAGTGCATATTTGCCTAACTCTCTGTATTTGAGAACTTGTTGAATTTGTGATCAAATAATGTTCTTGTTGAGTAAAGAAGCATGATCCTTTGAGAAAATGATTTATTATGAAAGCATGATTAAATTGTATTATTTGATCCACGAGAATAGAAGCATACTTATCGAGTGAAATGCATAGAATTTGCTATTTTGCAAACCGAGCATGATGATATATCCTTGAATACTTCATGTTATTTTATACATGATTTAGAAGCATGATATAGGGCGTTTTTGACATTTCACATGAGTCATATTTCAAAAGTGCATTAAGGACCAACGTGAGTCCAAGAATATTTTCAAAAAACCAAAAGCATGTGGTATATCATTCTTTGATGCATTGAGAAATAGTAGAATTGTTGCATGCATGAGAGATATATTTATGTATTATCTATATCAGTGAGGTTTTAGAGGATACCGTTTGGACTATGTTCCTCTCGGGAGATATTTATGGACATTGCGATTTCAGAGTATGTAACGCGGCATATTCCCACGTTACGAGGTTGGAAACTTCCCGCCAGGCGTGGTAGGGGGTGGCACACTAATAGTTCGATACCTGATTCCATAGAGTTTGAACCACGAGATTGGTTCTGTAGACGGTAGGAGATATTAGGTCGGAATTATACCATTCCCGATGGGGTAAGTCACACTTCTGTGAAACCCTAAGCCGTCTACGACACTACAAGAAAAATCGCGAATCGCGACGGACTATATTCCGTAGCCATTTAGCGACCGAAATTGCGACCGAATTCATTCCGTTGCCAAATGGCGATGGAATAGGCGATGGAATTTTATTCCGTCGCGACTTTTGGCGCAAAGATAAAATAAAGCCCGCGAAATATTGGCGGCAAATTTTCGCGACCGAATTTGCGATGGAAGTAATTTACGTCGTCCATGTTGCGACGGAAATAGCGACTGATTTGTGTTCCGTTGCTAATTGGCGACGAAATTTGCGACCGACTTGATTCCGTCGTTAAATTAATTAATTTTCAGATTATGGACTAAAACGGCGACGGAAATTGCGACCACCTATATTCCGTCGCAAAATAGTTTTATTAAATTTTATTTTTCTTTTACTTAAACGATGGCGTTTTGAGTATGAAATTAAAATTAAATAAAATAAAAGTTTGTAACCCTAAGTGCAAACATCTTCTCAGAAGTAGAACACTCCACGCTGAACTCCGTCGCTGTGCAGAACGCCGCCGAACGCCATCGTCTTGCAGAACGCCGCCGAACGCCGCAGAACGCCATCGCCGTGCAGCCTCCTCCTCCTCCTCCATAGCCGTGCAACCTCCTCCTCCATTTGTGACGTACTGGTAATTGTTTAACATATTTCTGTAGCTATTTTTTTTATCTTTCAGTTCAAATTACAATTCAATTGCATATATTTGTGGTTGAATTGAACTATGGTATGTTTGGGAACTGAATTGAACAATTGACAGTTTATGGTATGTTTGGGAAAACCAATGTTCTATTTTGTTTTTGTCGATTTACTCTATTTTGTTTTTGTTGATTGCTCGATTTTCTTGAAACACCGTACCCCAATGTTCTCTGCATTATTTGGTTCATTATTTTGTTTTTGTCTGGTCCGCCATTCTGTCACTGTACAGCTCGGCTAGGCTGCTAATTGCTATTGCTTGAAAGAAATTGGGAAAAATCTTAGAAGGCCATAAACTAAGAGCCAATTAAAGAGTCTTGAAGTTCATCATATACAAAATCCTAAACATTTACATTTTCATAAAACATATATCAGAAACAAAATTTACACATTAAATAGCTATGGCAATATGCGTAGTGTGATAACTGGATAAGGTTTTTGAATTCATACACTAAAGTCTTTTATAGAAAAATAAAACAGTCATTTTGAAGATTTTGTCTTAAAATACAAAAAAAATAAAATAAAATAAAAAATAAAAAAAATAAAGAACAATCTTCCTAAACCACTTAAGAATCAGTAGAAAAGGAATTCTTAATTCTAGACATCTATCATATTGTTTCCTTGAAGTTATGCATTAACATTTTTCAAGATACACCATCAAAATTAAGGACACACATTTGTACAATGGATTGAGAAATAGCAAATACTTCCCAGCAAAAGAAACAGAAAAAAGCATGAATGAAAGACATGCAATGAAACATGAGTCAACTCTATTTTCCTTTCTCCAGTTGAGCATGTTAGCCCACATTTGGATTGTTTTATCAATATCAAACTTCTTTGCTTTTAGAAGAAAAAGGAAACAGGGATTTAAAAATAGTTTTAACAGGGATTTATATATGAGGCAGAAATATTTATAATAATTATATGTGGGCCTTTTTTTTGTCATTTCGCATAATTATACTAGATTACATGCATTGAGTACACAAGATTTTATAATTTGACCATGGCATATATATGCCATTTCTTTGGCATGTGGCCGTATAGAGTTTCCCACCATGCTCCATTATATTTAGTGGTTTCATAACTTTGTAATTGTGCAATGCATTGAGGATTGAGTTTTTGTTTTATTTTATTTTATTTTATTTTATTTTATTTTATTTGTGAACATTGTAAAACCCAATGTTGAGAAAGACAAACTACTTTGAAAATCATGTTAATATATGTGAATATAAATATATAGGCATAAATGACTAATTTGATTGCTTCTTTTTTGCTTTTTCTATTGCATAATCATTACTTTGAAAATCATGATAATATATGTGTAAATATGTAGGCATCTATAAATGAGTAATATGGATAGAAGTTGGATGTATCAAAGACGAACTCAACGTGGTGATCTTAATCAAGTTTTTATTGAAGGATTAGAAACATTTATTGAGTTTGCATGTAGTCAGCCGAATTTCATGGATGGAACTAAAATTCGATGTCCATGTAAAAGATGTCGTCACATCTCATTTGAAGAAGCTGAGATTGTGAGATTTCACTTGTGCAAATTTGGTTTTGTGCCGAATTACTTTGAGTGGAATAGACATGGAGAAATGTCACACAATCAAACTTCAATGGAGTTTGATGCAAATTGGAGTTTAAATGAGCAAAATGAACCGTTGGAATCATATCAGCAGATGGTTTATGATGTTGCTGGTCCAAATCTCATAGCAAGGAATATGCGTGAGGAGCCAAATGTAGAAGATAAAAAATTCTTCGACATGTTAGATGCTGCTGATAGACAATTATGGTCTGGTTGTGAAAAGTTGACACAATTATCTGTTGTGGCTCGATTGCTAAACATAAAGACAGAATATCGTCTGCCAGAGCAATGCTTTGATGCATTCTGTCAATTGTTTAAGGATGGTTTACCTGAAGACAATAACATGGTTGATAGTTTTTACCAGACAAAGAAACTAATACAAGGGCTTGGGCTACCAGTGGAGAAAATTGATTGTTATAGGTTGGGGTGCATGCTGTATTGGGGTGATGATAAGGAGTTAACCCAATGCAAATTGTGTCAGCAACCAAGGTACAAAAAATCAAGTCGTTCATCTAACCAATCACTTGTCTCTTACAAGAAAATGTATTACTTGCCATTAGCTCCAAGACTTAAGAGACTTTATGCTTCAAAAACAACAGCTGCTTTTATGAGATGGCACAATGAGGATCATGGCCACGATTCTGGAGTTATGTGTCCTCCTTCTGATTCGGAAGCTTGGAAGCATTTTAATGCAACACATCCATCATTTGCATTAGAAAGCCGTAATGTTAGGTTGGGTTTATGCACAGATGGATTTCAACCATTTGGACAGTCAGGACAACAATATTCTTGTTGGCCTATCATCATTACACCATATAATTTGCCTCCATCCATGTGTATGAAAGAGCCATATATGTTTCTGACTGCAATAGTGCCTAGACCCAACAACCCTAAGAACAAACTCGATGTTTTCCTACAACCTGTTATTGCTGAATTGAAACAATTATGGGAAGAAGGTGTGCTAACTTATGATGTCTCTTTGCAACAAAATTTTCAAATGAGAGTTGCTTTGATGTGGACAATTAGTGATTTCCCAGCGTATGCTATGTTATCAGGTTGGGGAACAGCAGGAAAACTAGCATGCCTGTATTGTAGGGAACATTCACAAGCATTTCGGCTTCCTAATGGTGGAAAAATGTCATGGTTTGACAATCATAGGAAATTCCTTCCACTTAATCATCCATTTCGCTTGAACAAAAGAAGATTCATGAAAAATCGTGTGGAAATAGGTCAACCTCCACCGATTAAGAATGGCACAGAAATTTTAAGAGAAATCGATGAATTTGGACTATTAAAAGTTACAGATGCTAATGCAGAAGAGATGAATAAATCATGCAGTCGTAGTTGTGGATGGAGAAAACGAAGTATTTTTTGGGATTTACCATATTGGGAATCAAATCTCATTCGACATAATCTTGATGTCATGCACATCGAGAAAAATGTTTTTGAGAATGTTTTCAATACAATAATGGTGATTCAAGGTAAAACAAAAGACAATGCGAAAGCAAGAGAAGATTTAAAACTCTTTTGTAACAGAAAAGAGTTAGAAAAGAACCATGCCACAGGTAAATACCCAAAAGCTTGTTATTCATTAGACAATAAGCAGAAACAAGTGTTATGTGAATGGGTGAAAAATCTGAAATTCCCGGATGGTTATGTCTCAAATATGGGAAGGTGTGTAGATATGAGCAAGTATAGGCTATTTGGAATGAAAAGTCATGATTGCCATGTTTTCATGCAAAGGTTAATGCCAATTGCATTTCGAGAGATGTTGCTAACCAAGGTTTGGGAAGCATTAACTGAACTAAGCATTTTCTTTAAAAGGTTAACTGCAAGAGTCATTAAAGTGGAAGAAATGACAAGACTAGAAGATGAAATCTCAATAATTCTCTGTAAATTGGAGAGCATATTTGTTCCTGGATTTTTTGACTCAATGGAGCATTTGCCAATACATTTGCCATATGAGGCTAGGATTGCTGGGCCAGTTCAATATCGTTGGATGTATGGGTTTGAAAGGTAACTTCTATAGTTACTTTTTATTTAAAATATTAATGATGTTAGATGCAATTGTATCTAATATTTGAATAAGTTTTATTCTTTTTTCAATTTAGATTGCTCCATGAGTTGAAAAAAGATGTGAAAAACAAGGCTAAAGTGGAAGGGTCAATTTGCAATGCATATTTAGTGCGTGAAGCCTCTATATTTTGTTCTCATTATTTCGAGCCACACGTTTATACACGTAGTCGAAAAGTTCCTCGAAATGATGATGGAGGAGTTCTTGAGGAGGACGAAGAAAATTTGTCCATATTTAAATATCCTGGTCGCTTATATGGAAGATGTAAGACAAGAAGACTAACTGATGCAGAGTATTTGGCAGCACATACTTATATATTGCTTAATTGTGAGGAAGTACAGCCTTACATTGCGTAAGTTCCACATCAATCAATTAATTAATGATAGTTGAATCATTCGTGAGTTTATAATTGTGTTATATAAATTTACAGTTTATATGAAGAGATGTTGAAGGAACTTGATCCCAAGATAAGTGAGTTAGAACTTGCAACACAACTACAACAAAATTTTGGTTCTTGGTTTGAAAATTATGTAAGTCTTGTAGTCAACTACTTCTCTTGGTTCTAAATAATTTAAAACCTAACTCTTATATGTAAATTTTTCAATGGCACAGGCACGCCAAAATGAAATAGAGAACAAATATATATGTGATTTGTCAAAAAGGCCACTGAGAACTGTGAAATCGTATCCTGTGTATTTTGTCAACGGGTATAGATTTCACACAGAGTCATATGGTGAGAATAAATCAACAATGAATAGTGGTGTTTGTGTAAGTAGCACATGTGATGATTACTATGGCAAGTTGATGGAAATATTAGAAATTGAGTATACTGCCTTGCCAATTAAACGCACTGTCTTGTTCAAATGTGAATGGTATGACCCAACACCTAATGTTGGAGTAAAGGTTCATAACCGATATAATTTGGTTGAAATAAATCAACGGAGAAGGTTTAACAAATTTGAGCCATTTATTTTAGCAATGCAAGCTATTCAAGTTTGTTTTGTTCCGTACCCTAGTATGAGACGAGATAAAGTTAATTGGTTAGTTGTGTGTAAAGTTCAACCTCGGGGATGGATAGAATCTTTCAAAAAGGAAAATGGCCAAACGAAAGATACTGCTTTTCAAGAAAAAGAAGTTGAAGAAACTGAAATTGCAAGTGCTGTGGATGATGATTCTTTCGTTAGGTTAAGTGATGAAAATGTGGAATATCTCGACATTCCTGACGACAATTCAGATAACAATGAAGAGGAAAATGATGAGCTTGACTTTGACTCTAGTTCGTCAACTAATGAAGATGAAGATAATGATTGTTATAATGATGATGATGATGACGGCGACGATTATGAAAATTAGAGTTTATGTAGGTAATTCAAAAGTAATGCTTAATAAATATATATTATATGAAACACTAATATATATTACACTTTTCATATTTTGTAGGAAAGATGCCAAGAGGACGTGGAGGACGTGGAGGACGTGGAGGTTGTTTTGCAGCTAGACTTTTGTCAATAAATGTTGTACCACGTAATGGAAATCACACATCGGCATCGGCATCGGCATCGGCATCAGCATCGGCATCGGCATCGGCATCGGCATCGGCATCGATTCCCATAGTAGCATCAAGACCCTTATCACCATCCACGCCATCTACGGCTACTAATAATGGTCAAGTTGGACAAGATGCAGTTAGGCAACAAAGTGATATGGTTGACTCTGTAGGAGTGCATGGATGCCTACGAATTGATGTTAAGGATAATATGTAAGTTAAATTAAAATGAAATTTATTATTTGAATATATATTAATTTTTTAAATTTTGACTTTTCCTTTTTATAGGTTGACTAGCTCAGATGTATGTGCTAGAAAAATTACTAAGTTTTTCAAAGAAAGAATAGATCCTAATGGTTATGCATGGGGACAACTTAGTGTTGAGACAGTTGAATTTTATTGGGAAGAATTCAAGGTAATATTTAATCTCATGCATTGTATTTTAATTCTAAAGTGAATTATTGTTATTTTGTTTACATGTCTAACGTAAGTTCGTATTTACATTGTGTTTTGTAGAAATTTTTTGAGTGGGATGCTACTAAAACTGCTGTAGTGTATAATGCTTGGGAGATAAAGGCTAAAAGAAGATATGCTGATTACATAAGCAGAATAAGGAAAAAGCTAAGACCTCCCTATGTCCCACCAGAAATATGGATAAAATGGAATGATGTTTGGAATTCTGAGGAGGGAAAGAAGAAAACAGAATTGGCTAAGAAAAATAGGCGTGGAGGAGTTTTAACTGGAGTTGCTCAATCTACCCATACCACAGGATCAACACCTCACGTAAAAGTTGCAGCTCAACTTGTAAGTTCATTTGAATTGTTTAAGTTATTATAAGTATTATGTGTTTTTTATTATATGGAAATAAGATATGGAAACCTGAGATTTATTTGAACTTGAATGATTTGATAATGAGGATTGATTGAACTTAGGAGTAGAAACTGCAGAGTTAATTTGGGAAGCACTAGCTTAAATCTTTTAATGAGGATTCTAGGTAGAATGAATAACTAGAGTTTACTTGACTCTAACTTTTATGTTTTTTGTTGATTGTGATTGTGTTTTATTATGTTTATTGATTGATGTTGGAGATTATAATTGAATTGTATTATATATTGAACAGGGAGATAGTCTTATATACAAAGGAAACTCTGCCGAATTTTTTCTTACTTTAATAATTGCTTTTGTTTGTTAAATATAATTTGTAGGAAGGACAATTGGGTCATTGTCCATCGTATTATGAACTGTTCAGGCATACACATACCAAACAACACGATGGGCAAACATTCATAGCTGAAAAAGCCAAACAAATTCATGTAAGTTTAATTTGGTTTAATTTGTTTTAAGTTTTTAAAAGATATATGCCTTTACATATATTTTGTACTAAATCTCTAACATATTTTAGGAACAAGTTGAATCGCAACGGGAGATGTTGGCAGAAAATGGGGAGCAAGTGGATGACAATCAATTATACTATGACGCGGTTGGTGGACACGATAAGAAAAGAAGAGTTTATGGACTTGGTTCATATGGTTGTTCTGTTGTTCATGGTCCAACTAATGATAACACTTCTGGCAATATGACACCAACATCGCGACCACCCGACAATACTACTTCTACTTCTGCAAATGTACAACATGAAATTCAGAGTTTGAAGGAAACTATTCTCCTTATGCAACAAAGACTTGATGCTATTGATGGCGGGAGAGCGGGTACTTCATCATCACCTCCATCTCAAATCAATTGATTTTAATGGTTGTTTGTTAATTTTGTTTAGACTTGAATTGACTATTATATTATGTATTAAGTGTGGATTGATAATGTATTATTATGTTGTTTAGACTTGAATTGACTATTATATTATGTATTAAGTGTGGATTGATAATGTATTATTATGTTGTTTAGAGTTTAATTGACGATTATATTATGTATGAAATGTGGATTGGTAATGTATTAGTATTTTAACTTAATTTAGAATTATGTTATCTTTTATTTTAAAAACATTCATTACTATTTAAAATAAAAATTATATTTTAAAATAATTCAAAAACGCGACGGAATCGCGACGAAAAATAAGATTTGCGACGGAATATTTGTTGCCAATGAAGCGACGGAATTACGACGAAAAACATTTCCGTTGCGAAATGAGCGACGGAATTGGCGACCGAAAAGATAATATGGCGACGGAATATTCGGTTCAGAAATAACGACGGGTTTGCGACGGAAACAGTTCCGTTGCAAAATTGGCGATGGAATTCGCGACGGAAAATTCCGTCGCCAAATGGCGACGGAAATAATCCGTCGCGAATTCCATCGCCAAACGTCGCGACGGAATTATTCCGTCGTCTACCAAAAAACGACAAGGCGATAGACGACGGAATATATTCCGTCGCCATTACGTCGCGAAACGCGATTCGCGACGGAATATTGCCCATTCGCGACGGAAAATTTCCGTCGCGATTCGCGCTTTTTCTTGTAGTGCGAGTATAAGAGAAGGAAAGCGAGTCAACAGAGACTCAAAAAAAAGAGTCAAAAGAGACTCGATTATGAGAGTCAATATAGACTCGATAGAAAGAAAGAGAGTTAAGAGAGATTCGAGAAACTAACAAAGAACCCTCCACAGAAAGAACTCTATTTTATATATGAGTGTATGATTTTATTATTGCACTAAATTGCATATGAACATGACTATATTGTTGCACTAGATTGCATGAGTGTATGACTATAATATCGCACTAGATTGCATATGAATATGAGAATATGGTTGCACGAGATTGCATAAGAGCATGAGTATACTTTTGCATAGATTGCGTATGAGTATGATTATACTGTTGCATGAGATTGCATATGAACACAAGTATAATGTTGCACTAGATTGCATAAGAGTATGAGTATATCATGGCACTAATTTGCGTAAGAAGCATGATCATAATGTTATACATGATAGTTTGCGAATAGAACATCGTAAAAGATTGTTTAATGAGAAGTTTAACTTGAGATATTCCTTGAGCATGATTATTGTGATGTAGTAGAAGTTCTACTTAATAAGTTATGTGAAAAGGTTGTGATAACATGTGAACACTTGTTATATGATCTTTAAACAATATCCTATCTGTAAGCATGAATTGCTTGACAAGCTATTAGAGAAGTCTATATGTATATGAATATACGTGATTAGTCTTATTCATATGTAAGCATGCCAACTGATATTATAGGGTGCAAACATTTAGAAAGTATATGATAATCTAAAGATACTTTGAGATTAGCTTATTGATTCAATGATATCAAATGTTTTTCAATGTATATGCTGAAATGCTTTACAGGGTTGAGTGTGGTTATACTTAGCTTCGTGCTAACGGGTTTTTCCTGTTTGTCTATGTGTTGCTTGCAAAACCCCTTTCAGGTGGGCCCAGCAGTGAGAGAAGATCGAGTTAGATTAGTCTCTTAAGTTTGAACTATCTAAACTCTAAGTTGTTTGATGATGATGTTACGAATCTAGACTTATGACGTTTGATGATGTAGACTATTTGAGGTGATGTTTTCCCCCTTTACTTTCCAGTATTTTATTTAGAAGTCAGACTTTTACTATAATTCTAGTTTTACCCCATTTAGCCTGTGCAACCTCCAAGAGTGGTGGTTGTGGCGGTGACACCCACACTACTTTTATCCAGTTTCCCGCTGCTTAGATTATGTAAAAAGACTGTTTAGAAAGATAATTAAAAGTTAGAAAAGTGGAGTGTTACAATCATAAATATGGATAGTTTTCTGGTGTATACTACTGCTATCATGTTTACTTGTGGACTAATATGGTGCACTGATGTTGGTCATCTCGTGGCTCAGAATAACAACGCATTCTTATTACGGTAGGTCGGCATTCATTTTGGCCCTGGGGCATTAATGGAAATACATGATGTGGAGTTTGAATTTAATATTATAAGCGCTCATCGCGTACGTGTGTTTCTTCGGAGATACCAGGTTATCTTCGCATTATCATTTTTGGGTTTTGGGTTTTCCATTTATTTCCTCCCTGGGGTTGGGCGATGAGCAATGCGCAGTGCTGTTACCGATGGCACTGCAGTGCACTTAGCCTTGCCTGCACACCGCCCGGGCCGATGCTGTCAAATGATGGCATTGCACTAGAGGGGCCGTGGGGATAAGTGGCGTAGCAGTGCACGATCATCTCAATTACACTACTCTCATGATTAACATACAAAATTCATGACCATAACGTGCATAAAATGATAACACCAGATATAAAAACTCATTAGACAATACAAAAACCCTAATCACAGATACACATCACCTCCAATACAAACACAATCAGACTAAATTTTCAACAACAATCCTAGAAACGGTTCTCAGATAAGTAATCAACGAATATCACATACGAATTCAAATAATTGACATCAACAACAAAATAAAAAAAAAATGCAAAAATCAATATAAAAAACCTGGAATAGAATCGTTTGTCACTTCCAATCCCAACGGAGCATTGACCTCGTATGTCACTGCCAATTCTTGAGGCGCAATCATCTCATCCATATCGCAACGCAATGTCTGAAAATCCAGGAGAGAGGGAATAAAGAACAAATTGCGAAGATCATAATCGAGAGAGAAACTTCTCAATTTGAACATAGCGCGAAGAGAGAAACGAGAAACTGCTATTTTTTTTAAAAGAAAACAACAGATAACGGGAAACGGGGTTGTAAAAAAAAAAAAATCCATTAAACAAAAAGGTTAAAACGCGCTTCATTTTTTACCAGGGTCCATAATGCACTTTGGACCTTGGTCCACGTCTCCACGATATAAATTGCCTCCCTCGCTCTGCCCTAGGCAAATTATTGTATGGACCACGGTCCAAAATATGGTCATAATTATGAGTAAAAATTATGTACATTGTGTTAGAATAATATAGATTACGTGTTAGAATAATGTACATTATGTGTTAAAATGATGTACATTACGTGTTAGAATAATGAAACATTTGGGGTAATATAATGTAATTTATGTTTTAAAATAATGTACATTATGCTTTATAATAATGTACATTATATTTTAGAATAATGTATATTATGAGTTATAAAAATGCATATTGTAGCTGCGCACACGAAAAAATGAAATTAAGCAAAACAACGTCGTTTTTGGACCGTGGTCCACATAGCTGTGTGGACCACAGTCCACGCAATAAATATTGTTTGCCCTATTGCCAAGCCTAATCACAGGGATTAACAAAACTAATTATTCTCGTTTGTGGCCTATTATACTCAATTGTTATATACCAAGGCTATGTGGTTTAATGGTACCTGGGTTGGACTTTCATTTGGAAGGTTGTGAGTTCAAGCCTCAGCAGATATTACATTGTCATAGAACCAGTAGCATTCAAAAAAAAAAAAAAAAAAAACCACTATTTCGTATATATATAATTGTAGGGTAGAATACACATACACTCTTAGGATGCATGGTGCACGATATAATTTGCCAATTACACTTTATTTTGGGCCGCATAATTTGTTGTAGACTAAAATTTGACCCATAATGATAATATTCGGCCTACGCTTCCCATGTAGCCCAAATTACGTAATTGGGCCGGTCAAAGTCGTAACACGTAATGGCTTTTCCCGCGCTCCCCAGAAAATACAAGAACTTTCTGGTAAAGCCTGGTTGTTTCGCCATGTCTGCGTGTCTCTGGAACTCCCTCGACCAGTCGACCACCGCCACCATCCACCGTATCCAGGGCCCTATATATACTCCACGCGCCACTATCCTCTTTCAATCGTAGATAAATCGAAACGTTCAAAAGCATTCGGAATCTCGCACCCAAAAATCTTCACTTTAGTTAGTTCATTTGAGAGTTTCTTGAAAAATCAGTGATGGCGAAGAGCGAAGGAAAGGCAATTGGCATTGATCTCGGCACGACTTACAGTTGTGTCGGGGTATGGCAGAACGACAGAGTAGAGATCATCCCCAATGATCAAGGCAACAGGACAACGCCGTCCTATGTTGCCTTCACCGACACCGAGAGGCTCATCGGCGACGCTGCAAAGAATCAGGTGGCCATGAACCCGCAGAACACCGTGTTTGACGCGAAACGCCTCATCGGGCGGCGTTTCTCCGACCCTTCGGTGCAGGCGGACATGAAGCACTGGCCGTTCAAGGTTGTTCCCGGCGCCGGCGACAAGCCAATGATTGTGGTTCAGTACAAGGGAGAGGAGAAGATGTTTGCTCCAGAGGAGATTTCTTCCATGGTTTTGACGAAGATGAAGGAAGTCGCAGAGGCTTTCTTGGGGCAGACAGTCAAGAACTCTGTGATTACTGTCCCTGCCTATTTCAATGATTCCCAGAGGCAGGCTACCAAGGATGCAGGGGCAATTTCAGGCATGAATGTTATGAGGATCATCAACGAACCCACCGCCGCTGCAATTGCTTATGGTTTGGACAAGAAAGGTTCCAGAACCGGCGAAAAGAATGTCTTGATCTTTGATCTCGGCGGCGGGACTTTCGACGTGTCTATACTGACTATCGAAGAAGGGATCTTCGAGGTGAAAGCCACCGCCGGCGACACCCACCTGGGCGGCGAAGATTTCGACAACAGGCTGGTGAATCACTTCGTGCAGGAATTCAAGAGGAAGCACAAGAAAGATATCAGTGGAAACGCCAGGGCTTTAAGGAGACTCAGAACCGGCTGCGAGAGGGCAAAGAGAACTCTGTCTTCCACCACTCAGACAACAATAGAGATAGATTCTTTATATGAAGGCATTGACTTCTACGCCACCATTACAAGGGCGAGGTTTGAAGAGCTGAACATGGATTTGTTCAGGAAATGTATGGAGCCAGTGGAGAAATGCCTGAGGGATGCCAAGATTGATAAATCCCAGATTCATGATGTGGTTCTAGTTGGTGGGTCTACAAGGATTCCCAAAGTCCAGCAACTTCTACAAGACTTCTTCAATGGCAAAGAGCTCTGCAAGAGCATCAACCCAGATGAAGCTGTGGCTTATGGTGCAGCAGTCCAGGCTGCAATTCTGGGAGGTGAAAGTGACCAGAAAGTTCAAGATTTGCTGCTTCTTGATGTCACCCCTCTCAGCCTTGGAATTGAGACTGCAGGTGGTGTCATGACAACCTTAATTCCTAGGAACACCACCATTCCCACCAAGAAGGAGCAAATCTTCTCCACTTATTCAGACAATCAGCCTGGAGTGTTAATCCAAGTATACGAAGGAGAGAGGCCAATGACCAAAGATAACAACCTGCTGGGCAAGTTTGAACTGAAGGGCATTCCACCAGCTCCAAGAGGGGTTCCACAGATCAATGTCTGCTTCGATATCGACGCAAATGGCATACTGAATGTGTCTGCAGAGGACAAGACTGCAGGTGTGAAGAACAAGATCACCATCACCAATGACAAGGGAAGGCTAAGCAAGGAGGAGATTGAGAGACTGGTCCAAGAGGCAGAGAGATACAAAGCTGAGGATGAGCAGATCAAGAAGAAGGTGGAAGCCAAGAACGCATTGGAGAACTACGCATACAACATGAAGAACACCGTGAAAGATGACAAGCTTGCTGGGAAACTGGACCCATCAGACAAGCAGAAGATCGAGAAGGCGGTGGACGAGACAATTGAGTGGCTGGACAGAAATCAGTTGGCTGAAGTTGATGAATTTGAAGACAGATTGAAGGATTTGGAGAACTTGTGCAACCCAATCATCTCCAGGTTGTATCAAGGTGGCGGAGGAGATGTGCCAATGGGTGGTGCTGGTGGTGGTTATGGCACTGCTGACTCTGCTGGCACTGGCCAGGGGCCAAAAATTGAGGAAGTTGATTAAGGAATATCCCCTGAAAATACCTCTTCTTTGAATGTTTTGTCACTATTTTTGTCAATACTTGTGTGGATTTGAGAATAAGCGGAGTCATAAGCCAAGTACAATGTAACATTTCTATACTCTTTGATTAGCAGAGTGAACTTTGTTTTCTTCTTTCCATTTCTGAGTTCTTCTAGTAAATTTCTATTCTCTATGCTATTCTACTCTGTTTTAGGAATGAATTCCGACAGCAAAACAAGGCAAGTGAATTGTAGGAAATGCAGAAACAACGCCACAATATCTCAAGGAAATGCAGATAAATATGAATTCTAACAAAAGACTAACCTCAGAGAATTATGTTTGGAGGCCTGATTGCATATAATCAAGAAGGCTCTTAATGATGTTTCTGAGTGAACATTGCCGGGAAAATTTTAGTTGGAAGAATCTTTCAGGCCGTTTCAAGTATTATCTTTTTTATGAAGGGATAATATTTTAATAATTCACAAAACATGTATTAATCACACTTTTGGTACCCAAACCGGAATTTTGCACTTGGGTTACCATTATATTCAAATCTTTAAAATTTGGTAATTTAATATTAAACATTTAGGATGTGTTTGATACGCGTATGGAAATCAGAATCATAATGAGAATCAAATACTTTGGTAATGGTAATAGGTTTTGATGAAAGTATTTTACATGATTGGTAGTATGATAGAATTGGAATGATTATTGATAGTGTTAATTTTCACATAAGCGATAAATAAATGAAACAAGCCCAATCAAAGCAAGTAAATATTTTATTCATCGGGTGAAGGACCTAAATACAATCTACACTGGCTATTCTGAGGGCCGACTGGGTCCTTCTAAGAAAATCCGACCTGTAACCTGCACAAACAAGAACAAAACACGTGGCACATCGGTCGGGATATTCCCTATCAAGAGCCCCCCAGCCCGGGCCTTTTTAACCGCCCGGGAAAAAACGGGACGGGATGAAGAAGTCCAAACGTTCGCCGCCAAACCGACCGGACAACTGTCATTCCTCCGTGCCACATGTCGGCTTCTGCACGCCTCTGCGACCGCAACTGTCACCTCAGAGTCTGGAGCGGTCGCGTCAAGCAAGTGGACTTTTCACGCCCAAATGCTCTCCTATAAATAGGCCTTCATGGGGTCCATTTGAACTTTTACCAATCATCTTGAGTCGATCGGAGCATCCCGAGCGAACAACTGCAGAATCCAGTCGAGCAATCCAAATCTCAAGATTTTCAAGCGACTATATCCACTCGGTAAGTCTTCTCTTATTTAGCTTTTGCTTCTTGCTTTTCATTACTTAGCAATGGCCAACTACGGGCCTTAATTAACCACGACAGAGTCGTACCCGACCCTAACAACGTCCCGACCACCCTTTAGGAAGCCAGCATGTCGGACACAGATAGTCAAAACGCCTCAATCGCGGATTATGACGACGTGGTCGAGCGGCTCAGCGAGGAAATCGATATCGAGACATCTTCGCCAGAGGTCGTTCAACGACCGCCCAGAGCCCCCGAGCCACAAAGGTCCTCGAGCTCGGAAGGGTCAACAAGCTCGAGCGGGTCGAGCAGCCAAAGCGGTGAGACCACCACAAGCGAGCGATGCTCGACCGAAGCCGCTCGGGAAACCCCGACCCGGGTAATTGGGGATTACCCACAAGCAGCACCCCCTACCAACAATCGGGAGGCCACCCCGGAGCCGGTCGAGGAAGACCCGGCTGCCCCACCCGCGCCGGCCAACGGCGAGTTTACTTTTTTAAACAGCGAAAGCGTCGAGCAACATGAGAGCTTGCTGACGAAAGGAGAAGCGGCGAAGATTGCCGCAAGGCTCAACAGTCGGGTAGAATTCGACACCAGTCGCCGCCTGGGCAACATCATCGAGCGGCATCAGGGGAAGTAGATCGGGATGCACCTCGACTCGCTCTTAGCCCCGATCACTTTCCCCTTCTCAGGCCTTCTGACCGCATTCTTGGGATACTACCAAGTAGTTCCGGCCCAGATCTACCCGAATGCCCACAGGATCCTGGCTTGCTTCCCTCAGATCTACGCTCGGCACGAAGTCGCGTGCACGATGGAGTTGTTCAACTTCATCTACCAAGTGAAGACGCTCCCGGCCAGATACGGAGGCGAGTTCCTGATGATTCAGTCCTAGGCAGATCTTTGCATGATCGACAACCTGCCCGGGAACAACCGGGGATGAAAAAACAGGATCTTTTCGGTCAAGTATGACCCGTGGATCCTCCCGGTCGACAGGGTGTGGAGCACCCATTATCGAAAGCAAGTCATGCCGGTCGAGACAAAGGCCCTTCAAGACGCCGTGTCTAAGATCTCGAGCGAAATCCACGAGTACAAGATCTTTCGCTCGAGAGAAAGTTATGATGAAGCCCGACTGCCAACGCCACGGTACGATCTCAAGGTTAAGTACCTGCCTGTGCCGGGCGTGACAATAGCAAGGGCAGCTGCTCGGGTCGAACCGGCAGACGAAGGTCTAACACTAACCAATCGTCCCCGACCCTAACTCCCCGATCACACCTTAATTCCAATTTAACAATTTGCTATTTATTTGCAGATATGGCGGGCTTCGAAGATGATGACGCTCCCCGAGCCCCCGAGCAAAAATTTCGCTCAGGAAAGAAGAAGACCGCAGTCGAGCCATCCAAGGAGCAACAAATCCCGATTGCACGGCCTCTAGGGACGTCCACTACGGTCACCACAGCCGAAGGTTATGTGGTCGACGCATCGGACGTCCTAGTTTCCCGAGTGACTGCCCGCAAGGGCAAGGAGAAGACGGCCGAAAAGGAGGCCGAGGACGGTGGCGCGCTGAAGCGTCGTCGGAAGCAAGACAGCCCGAGCCCTCCAGTCTGGGCTACTAAGGGCGATCTATCGGTCCTCTCCCGGATCAGCAACTCTGGGCCGGTCAAGGAGGATCTGAGCCAACTCACCCCGACCCAGGTGGCCGAGAAGGTCGGCTACGACTTGGCCGAGGTAAAACTCTTCTTCTTTATTTTCATACAAATAACTTTGCCCGGGCTAATCGTGATCATATTTTACTTTGCAGATTTCCCGAGCGACCCAGTTCCTCCAGCGTCGAGCGCTGCTGGCCAATGAGGCCTATGCTTTGAAGAAGGTCGCCGACCGGCGACTGGGGGAGATCACCGAACTCCAGGCTGAACTAAAGAAAGCCAAGGAGGGTCGGGAAGCGGCAGAGAAGGCCGCCCGAGAGGCAAAGGGGGCCCAAGAGCTGGCTGAGAAGGCCACGAAGGAGGCCCTCGGGGAGGCCAAAGGCCTCAAGGCCCGACTGGCCAACCTTGGGAACTTGGCGTAGTTCCTCTTCCGGGATGCTGCGTCCGGGACAAAGTTCTTCCGGGAGATCCGGAAGACCAAGATCGGAGAGGCGCTGGTTTGGATGTTCGGGCGCTGGGCATTCAAGTCCGGCCAGCGGAAGATGCGAGCGAAGACCCAGTCATTCATGGAGGAAGCCCTTGAGGGCGAGGATCTCCAGCTGGTCTTGAAGACCCTTCCGAACGAAGTTGCCGATCCCAGCCCGTCGCCGTTCGGTCCCGAGGAGGAGGTGGCCAAGCCAAGCGCCGTTGCTGCGAAGAAGTAGATAGGTCTTCTTCGTTTTTGCTATGTAATGAACTTGATCAGGAGCCCGATCCCGCTTTAATTTGTACCGGGTGCTTTTTAAATTTATAAAACTTTTAAGTTTTTTTTCAAACTTTTCTTGCTCAACTTATTCTGATGCGTTTTACTTTTATCTGCTTATATACCAGTCGTTCATTGCCCGACCCTTTGGCCTAATGGCCTGATCATGCATGTCCCGACCGATTGGCCTGTTTGTTCGGGATCTCCCCGATCATTTGGCCTTGTCGAAAATCTGAAAAATATTTTGGCATTTTCGCTCGAGGTGTTCCCGAGCACTTTGGCCCCTTCATCCTAGCCCCCACATTGTTGCGCGCACAAGGCACGTGTGAGTGCAACAATGGAAAGAAGTTGGACGGATCGGGAAAATTTTGTTGTAGCTCTGGTTTTCCCAATCGGTGACGTGACCTGAATGTCTGCCGAAGATGAGCGCACTAACGGGTCGATAAATTCACCCGACCGAGTTGCAAATGGCTATTAGAGCTAATTAGATAGAGGGCTATTAGAGCCACTTAGGTAGATGGCTATTAGGGCCAATTAATTATACACCCCTGTCGGTTGGAACCGAGGGAGAGGTGTTGTGTGGGGTGGGATGCCCCTCTTCCATTGCTGATGTCGAGTCTCGATCGGGTAGATTCCTAGCGCGACTAGTTGGGGAATCAGATTTAAAATAACCTACTTCAGGGCTAGACAATCCAAAAACCGATCGGGCCGCCGTATGCAAACGGTCGAGCAATCACCTATCGTATTTACATTGAGAATTCCCGTTCGCAGACGGTTCAAGATATTTACAGCAAATGATTTACAAATACAATACGACGAAGGTGGCCCACTCGCAGGTCGAGCCCCCTACTTCATCAACTATTACAACAAACAGGCTAATGCCTAAATAAAACGAGGTGCTTGGAATTCCAAGTGCCCTCGATCTGCCTACCGGTCGTCGTCTCCAGTCGGTAGGTTCCCGGCCGTATAACCCTGGTGATGACATACGGGCCTTCCCAGTTCTGAGCTAGCTTTCCTCCTTCCAAAGGCTGACTGGCTTCCCGTCGGCGTAGGACATAATCCCCGACCTGAAAATACAGAGGGTTGACCCGGACATCCTTCGAACTCTTTACTCGCTTCTGTTACTCGGCCATACGCCGAGCGGCTAGCTCTCTCTTTTCTTCGACCCCGTCAAGATCCACGACCATGGAGTGTTCGTTCTCTTCTGCATTGTAAGTCCGTTCTCTGGCGGTCAGGATCCATGCCTCGATCGGGAGTCGAGCTTCGGCCCCATAGACAAGGGCAAATGGTGTCTCCAAAGTTGCTTCCCTCGGGGTTGTTCGATAAGTCCAGAGAACATATGGTAACTCCTCGGCCCAACTTCGACCAGCCGAGTGCAGCTTCTTCTTCAGACCTTCTAGGATTGTCCGATTAGCATTCTCGACCTGTCCATTTCCTTGAGGTTAACCCGCCGACGACCGGATGTGGGTTGTCCCGATCATGGCGAGAAAATTTTGGAAATATTGG